GTACCACTGCCTAGATGCCTCCCAAACAGATCAAGCCAATCAATCCCCAGCTATTCTTACAGCGTGGACTCTGGCCTGCTGTGTAATAAGCCCAGCAGGGTTCACGTCAACTGACTTTCCAATTCCCGGGAATGCCAGTAGGTTTTTACCCAATGCTGGGATTCCTGCCTTCCCCCACTCTATAGTGAGCATTCCATCACAATACTGTGAGTTCTGCACCTGTTTGTTATGTCTAGAAACAGTTTCGGGGTACTACCAACCTCTTTACAAATGCCCTCTTCACTGCCCTCTTCTACAAATGTTCCCGGGTCCACGGGCTGGCAACACTAATTATGTCCATGCTGCAGCTTGTTCTGGAATTTGAAAGTTCTGTTTAAAGTGATTCATGAGGTATGATTGGTACTGTGTAGATGCCGGGAATAACAAGGCTGGGCCTGAGGTGGTGAATTCCTGCAGGTAACATTAGAGCTGTCGTAAGCCCGCAGTACTGAGCATCAGCCTTTGTCCTCTTCAGCAGCCTGGAGGAAGTCCCTTTGCAAGCTCTGGAATTATTCTTCTCTTAATATTTTGTGACAGAGAGAGAGAGAGAGAGAGAGAGAGAGAGAGAGAGAGAGAGAGAGAGAGAGTTGTGTGTGTACATGTGCTCATGCAGCTATGGTATCTGTGAGCCCCCTGTGTTTGGCATTGAAAATCTTGTCTTTTGTTTTCCCTCTGAAAACAAATTGCTTGACTTCTCATTATGTTTTGAAGCCAAATACATGTGTCTTCTGGCTAACCAGTGCACACTAAGCATTTAAGAATGGTTCTAGATACATGTCTGCTGGCTGACTGGCAGTCAGTCATGGGTCAATTCAACATTTAAGAAGCAGCCTTGCATGGAATGTAAGGGACAGGGGCACAATCGTCAGCTGTCAGCAAGTGTTCTGAGGAACCAGTGGAACTGAACTGGTCATCTGGAAGGTTCCTTTGAGCCTAATAGTCCTGACTGAAGCCTGCTAGCTTTCCTAAGCCTGGACTTCCAGAACACAGCTGTTCTTGGTGTGCTGGGGACGTGGGCCCTTCTAACCTTGTGTCTTTTCACTCTGTGCTCTCCCAGGATCTTCGGCTTTCCTGCCCACTACACTGACGTCTCCAACATGGGCCGTGGCGCCCGCCAGAAGCTGCTGGGAAGGTCCTGGAGTGTGCCAGTCATCAGACATCTCTTTGCCCCCTTGAAGGACTACTTTGCATGTGAATAGTTCTACACAGGACTGGGGTGCTCTTGGTGGGGGCCAGGTCCCCAGAGTCACCCTCTCCCTGAAGGCACCTCACCCCTCCCCTTCCTCACTCAGCTCACCTGTTTGGGGCCTCACCTCACTGTGTACCTCAGCTTTCTCCTGTTCAGTGGGAGCAGAGCCTCCTGGCCCTTGCAGGGAGCTCAAGGTGCTCCCTCCATGTGCACAGCTCAGACCTGGCTGCTTAGAGTACCCGACACGGTGCTCATGTTTTCTTATCTTGAAACTTGAAAACTTGAAGTAGATAGTAATAGGGCTTTTTTCCCCTCCTGGGTTAATCAGTCAGAAGTGTTGGCTAAGATACCAAAATCACAGCTCTCCCAGTACTCAGGTTAATGCTGCAAAATCACTTCAGGTTTGTTTTTAAATAACCTGT